CTCCCCTCCTCTCGCCCAGGGAAGTAATTCTTTAAGTTTGCTTATCAGGAAAGTTACTTGGGCCTGACAGTTGCTCTTCTTCCTCCTGCAGCTCACGGTGTTTTCACGTCTTGCCGCAGGGCGGGCCGCGCTAGGCGATGGGGAGGCGACCCGAGTAACGAGGCCGAAGGGATGTTATCGCCCGCAATCACTTCAGGCTTCAAAAAGGCCAAATATCAAAAGTGCCCCATGGGTAAACTAGTCATTCCGGCGTGAGGAAAGGGAAGCCAGCTAGAGGTTAGACAGGAAAATAAAAAGCAGCATTCAGAGAGAGTTCAGCTCAAGTCCCATTCACTACAAATACTAAATACTTTTTTTTTTTTTTTTAAAAACCATGTTTTCTCACTCTGTCTTCTGACCCCCCCCCCCTTCCTTTCAGGCCCTCTACAGCATGGGCACAGAAAACAGCAGCTCCAGGCATTTACGTGCACGATCTTCACAGAGATGGGCCCCACTGACAGCCACAGGCCACACGCTGTACTGGTGAGCCCTTGGTAATTTTTAGTCTTTCATGCTCCTGGAGGTCAGCAGGCGTTTTATTGTTGACTGTAAACTAGTTCAGGTCCAAAATTCTTGCACCAAGGGAAAGGTCATCCTGAGGACTTGACAGGATGTTATGATTGTATGGTAATTTATATGGCACACAAACGCACACGGTGTAATTCATTCCAAAAGCATGTTTTATTATAGAACAGTATCCCAGCCCCAGGCTCTTGCTGTGACAAGTTCAGGTAGCCGGGATACGCTTTTTTTGGCTTCCTAACACGATGAAAAAGAAACCCTGACAGACTGAACCGTTTGCCTACTTCTACTATTTTGACTTCAGAGGGATAGATTCAGTTTGCCATATTTTCAGTGGCTCCTGAAGACAAAATTTAAACCTCCAGCCAGACTGGGGTGGGGGTAAAAGCCAGTTAACTACAGCCATACTTTTTTAATCTAAAAGGAAAACACGAGCTCTTCTACATCAGCATATCAGTCGAAGCTCCCAAGATGATAGGCGAGATAAATATTCTGGTATTTCTTTTTAGGAAATAAGATATCATTCTTCTCATCACAGAATTAGTCCTTACTTGCTGCCAGTTTAAAATTTAAGCTTGAGGGCTGACTAGTTTTGAATATCAATATACTACTTCAGCTGCTGGTACCCTCCCTTTTTATCTTATTTCTTAAAACTGTCAGCACCAAACACAAGAGATTTTACCAAAACTGCATTTGTCAAAAAGTGACGGAGGATTACAAATTAGGTGAGGCTGAACTACACACACATACTGTAGAAAGCAGGACGCTGTATATGCATATAAATGAACATGGATATCAGAGGGCTTTATTACGGAAATTCAATTTTTGTGTTTTGTTTTTACTAGGGAACACTTCTCCAACTCTATCCTTTCTCAGAATGCACATTTATTTGCATGTAAAATTTTCCTCTTCCAATTCCAATTTGCACTAGTATTAATATTGAAGCCATGATAGCCTCAAGATATGACATAAGCATGGTCTGCACTTAGAGAGAAAATACTTAATTAGACCAGTTGATATAGACCAAGTCAAAAAGCTTGAAAGCAAATGCACGTAAGGAATGTAAAGGGTACAGGCTTGTTGGGAAACAACTCTCCCATTCCCATCTTTACTTATCTTCTGGAATTTGGACAAAGTGGCATTTTCAATTTTAAAACATGCTTTTTTTCTTCAGGCCATGGACTGTATATGGTGTCCAGCTCTTGGCTCTGTGTCATCAGACTCCAGATTCTTTCACCAACCAAAGCCCTGGATGGTGTCATATCTCCAACGCAAGTGATATTTCAAACCTTAAAAATAACAGAGAGCTTTCTGGCAACATACCTAGCTCTGAGACACTTCTGTGGATTTAATCCAAACAATACTCTTCCTAGCGTAACAGAAAGCAAAAGGTTTATGCAAAATTGCTGGTTTTTTGGTCACCATATAAAAGTAATGCCGTAATGAAACAGAAATAAACTCCCAATAATTACAGATACTCAGGCTGCATCATACGTAGTCGCAACAAATGTACTATCCCAGTGCTTATGTATTACAGACAAGGCACATTTCTTATTATGTCTGCTAGTTTGTTACAAAACTGTTCTCAGTGGCTTACATTTTTCTTATTTCTTTATGCCAAATGTCTGTTTTCAAGAAAGTCTATTTAAAAAGGCTGGGTTTTTAATCTGTTTAAAAATCTTGAACACCTTGGGAAAAGCTCTGTTAGGGAAGGATCTAATATTTAGCAGAGAGTAGGATTTGATTTAAAATGAATCTTTTGTGGCACCCATGAATAATCACCAGAACTTGGTAGTCATTTGTGCCTCTTAGCTTTCAGCAGCTGGATTTCCTCCAAAATTTCAGTCACCCTGGGGAAGCTCCTTCAGGGGGAACATGGTCAAAACACGATCAAAAAGGAGTGAAGATGACGGAAACAGACTGGGACAAAGAGTCGATGCTACGATCTTCAAAGCAAGTTTCCATTCACCTATAATCCTGACGCATCCTCACAGCTGTGACATTCTGTGTATTCAATAGCACAGAGATTAGGTGGAAGAAAACATGATTTAAGTACTCATGTCAGAAGTCACAGGTTGAGGTAGGACAGGCAAGTTTAACTTATGCCTAAATTTGGGATGCTTGACTTTGTAATCCTTGTGTTCTCTTAGCATGGCTGCAGTTGAATATTTTTATTTAAAACGATGACCACTTTAAGCCATAAATCCACATTGTACTATTGTGCATATCTCAAAGGCCTCCTCTAAATCATCAAACTCACACTCATTTAATAATATTGATTATTTGTGATATTTGTGATATTTTTTCATATATATATTATAATATATATTATATTTATATATAATCACAATATTTGTGATATTTTTCCAATAATTAGAACAAACTTTTGTGGTATAAAAAAGAAAACATGAAAGGCGAGATTTATCTGCCTCAGATCATTTCAACAACACTTAACAATTCCACAACATTTTTTAGCTTCAAAGTACTTAAAAGTTGTTAACTAATGATTCCTTCCAGCAACCCTGCAAGATAAGCAGATATTTTTGCCATATTTTTACTGACATGAAAAGTGAGCCATTGCCATCCTTAGGCCATGAAGGGAACCTGGGCAAGAGCCAGCTTCAGAACACAGTAGCTTTTGGGCTGCCTGATCCTGTATGGTCAGGCCACACCTCTCTTAAATGTTAAACAACAAACACAGAGCCACAGGCAGAACCCTGATAAAAATAGCAAGCAATGCAAGTCAGTCCTTTACTTTTAGGCGTTACAACTTTAAATGGTAACTGCCATTCATTTGCCTTGGTACAGAAAGACGCTCTGATGAACCAGCATATTTAACAGGTACAATTTCACTCATTCATGCTATATTATTTGTGCTACTTTAAGAGATCCCAGAGAAAGGTACTTCACAAAAGCATAAGAAATGCCTGCGCAGCCCCAAAGAAAGCCTTGGTTTCTCATCATGTACATAAATGAAACTTTACTAAAAATAAAAGATACATCCACCTTAAAGACGTCCCACTAGCAGAGCTGACACTCCAACATTGCTGTAAGCCAGGTCAAAAAGCTGGCAATCGTAGTCTGTCAACATGAACAAATTGTGAAGCGGTTCTGTCATTAGACGCTCTACATATTGTGCACCAACTGGATACTGAGGGAGTAGAGCACTTCGCAGTTGTTACTGTTCAATTCATTACGTGGCAGAGAAAACAATAGCCATGCAATTAATAAAGCAACATCCAACGGCTAAAATGCCTGTGTCATCATATGATATAATTTATAAATGACTTAATATCCAATACATAAGGTTTCCTTAAAACTAAGGAAACAATTCATTTTTCCCAAGGAATCATATCCAGGAAGTAATCTTTAGTCTAGAATGTAGCAGACTGCAGTCCCTTTAAAATATATCCAGTCACTTTCAAAGCCAAGCATTCAGAACCACTGGAACAGTTGAAATCAATAAAACCTGACATTAGACGGCTTTTGGGGGTAAAAGCCGCTTAAAGTCTGCAAAGTAACTACAATAGCATCTAAAGCGATTCATACCTAGCCATATTCAGGGTCTTTGAAAGCATGCGGAAGGGAAAATGGATGCTGTTGGAGAGCAAGGGGAGGAGGCAGCCCTAGCAGCCTAGACTGATAGTTTCTCACAGTGCAGGACTGCTCACTGTGCCCCACAGTTACTGAAAACCTTCAAACTAACAAGGAGGAGTTGGGTGGTATGTAGAACACAACAGTCTAGAGTTGCTTACCAATAAAGATATACTGGAATATTGCTTGGATACAGGAATAAATGCACTACATCCATCACTGACTAATGAATAATCATCATGATCCCATCGAAGTTCAGTATGTAAGTACTCTCAAATTGATTTTGATGTACTGTGGAAGGGAAAAAAAATGATCTTGCTAGGTCATATTCTACTATTTATACATACTTAGCTATATAAATCCTTCCCTGCACTCTTCTCGGATTTGAGTGAAAGCATAAGAAAATTAAGTTACCGTAGCTGAATTTTCAATTCATTAAAAAACAAGCAACATGGTTCTATTTTCTAATACATTGCAATTCATATGGGTTCTTTGCCTTAGTTCAAATATATGGCACTTTCCTATAACAAGCAATACACATGTCAATTTAAAATGGTAAAAGCAGAAGAATACAGAAAGAGTACGCTTACTTATTTCAAAATTATACAACGTAGTGGCCTCCCAACTGCATTCTTTGTTTATTTTTAAGTCCACACAAGCATCAACACACTCAATCTGATACAGTCAGATCCACTTACGCTTTAGCAAAGTAAGGGACAAAGGAAAAGGCCACTGGATTTTAAGTGAAATCTATACAAGTTGTAGCATGACATTTCAGTGTCAGTTTGTCACTTAAACTGTAAATGAGACATTGGGAGAGCAAACAGCAGCATCACTGCACAGCTGCACTGCACAGCACAAGAGAGAAGGATTAAGCTAAGCGGTCTCATGCTCTCAATAGGCATTTTAAGCCACAATTTCAAATATATCCAAAAAAGCCAGAGAAAGTTTGTTAGATTTTAAAGTATTAACTTTATTAATAAATATACATCCATATGATGATGTAAATACAGATCATGAACACTACTCCATTCCCATACACATAATTGCACACGAGTAGCTCAAGTTCATGGACATAAAAACATACACAGTATCTAATCAGGCTTTTTACAGCAGAGGACACGGTGCTGATACTAGTTATTTAACAGATTACTGTTTCCCCCAAAGTAAACCTGTGGAAAAGCAAACGGTGAAAGATTAAAGAACAGGAAGTGGTTCAAATTTCAGAATACAGATTTAGATTTACCTATTTGAAAAAAATAATCACAAGGAGCAAGGTCTAGTCTCTACGAGAGTCATAAATATATTTTAGCAGTGTTAAAATATATGCATTAAAATAGAGAAGAATAAATGTCTTTTGTGGTCAGAAATGAAGTCTGCAGTTCATAGTATGACTATGATCAACTGTTTGAACTGTCATCTCTAGGGATAGCATGAAACTTTATTATACATATGACAAAGAATAGCAGAGTCGCAGCTAATGAAACCATCAGACAAAAGACTTCACATTGCTCTGCCTTTTAAAGCTCTTCAAAAATGGGGGGAAGGGTTAAATTCTGATCTGAATTACTCTGCATATTGTAGTTGCAAGTAATTCTTTTCACAGACACATCACTTTTCACTGACAAAGCTTGGTTTTGTCCTGACTGAACTCTAAGATCTTTCAAATAAAATGAAAATATATTCACTCAGAACAGAAATCTTTTAATGGCTCTTAATACATAGTTACTTTGATTAGTTTAAACTAAATCCAAGATATAAAGAACATTTCTTTAATGACAAAGCTAACTGCTGATTTTAAAAATACTACCTTTGCTATCAGAGTTAGCCACTTCGGATGGTATCTGATTTTTTTCTGCTAAAATATGGTGCTAGCATTTTGAATATGTCCAGTGCAAGACTTTATAGTAGCAAAATTATTTGGTTTTAAAGTTTAAGTAAATTTAATCAGAAATTGAATAGTTACTATATGTATGTTAAACAGTGAACTTGTATAGCATCATTAAGGAATAATAGCAAGCTAATACATTTCATTTATGTATAAATACGACATGTTAGAAACTCGATAATTAAAAGAACTTATTAAAAAACAAACTTGACATGTAGATCATCTTCTGAACAGTGTTAATACACAACAGTGATCCTAGCTTATGAAGAGCTGAATTATGATACGTAATATAAAATAAGCAATTTACCTTACAAGTAATCTTTTCATACTGTGGGGAGGAAAAGGTCAGTTTTCCCACTGGTAATAACAAAGTTCAGGCAATAACATGCTGTTTCAGTGTTTGTCATGAAAAGTGTGTTTTTAAAAAAAAAAAAAAGCACAATGTATTCTGTAGATTATACACAGGCAAAGTAGAAGTATTTGAAAATTCCATTCATACTTCACTTTGAATCTTTAACTTCTTTTTTTCTTCCCCTCACAGCATGGCACCAGTAAACTATAGTCAAATATAAAATAAACCAGAATCAGGAAATACCCTGCAGGGCATTTCTGGTCTCCTCGCTAAGTCTAGGGTGCCAAGCAGCCCTTTACAGACTCTCTGAGCGCTTTCCTACTTTGTGTTCATCGTTTCACAACTGACAATGTTAATTGTTTTTACTGGGATTCTATTTTATCTGATATAATTAATAAACACTGTAATGAACAGAAACTGCTTAGATGATTTCATTATTTCATCAGCATACTTGAATACAAAATTCATTATACTAGCAGAACAGTAATACATCTGCATTATCTCCTGACACACAGCACAGCACCATTGAGTAGATGCACAAGTGAGAAATGAAACAGGGGCAAACGGGATAAACAGAAGGAGGTAAGAAGCGGAGTTTCTCCAAGGTACAGTGGTGACATGCAACACGTTCCTTGCCAGCCAGGTGTGACACTCCTGTAGTTATCACATTCAGCTGAAGAGCACTGCTTTCCCAGCTGAGTTCAGAAAAGAGCTTAAAGCAGTCTTTGTTGAAAAATCATCTGATTAAAAACAGCCAATACACTACAGATCCTGAGGGTGAATTAATTCACGTTAGCATTTTGCATGTGTCAGAAGTTACACATCATTCTGAGAAAGATTGCTAAATTTCATACTTGTGAGTTTCTCGAGGAACAGAACACACAACTGGATTTCGTAGCTTCAGCATGGAGAAACTATATTTTAGTAGCAGTTTAGCTGCCATTAGTTTATATATTGACTAAGGAGCCATCCAGTATAGTTGAGGTTCATTGTCTTAGTTGCCAGTGCATACAAAGTCCCCCAAAAACAATTCAACACACCTATTGTAAAGTACAGCATAAAGTCCAGCTCATTATGTGTTAGGCATCACTGGAACACCTGAAGGCTTGCTGCTTTTTTCCTGATAAAAAAGGTATGAAACATGACATCTGTTTCTTAAGTTGTCATCACTGAAATCAAGAGTTCTCATCAAAATGACAGCAGGCCAGAATAGCATTTATGTTAACAAAAATTATCAATACTGTTACTCATTCAGCAAACTCTAATTAACTTATATGTCTGCTCCCCAGAATATGCAAACTTTATATATGCCCCCCGATATCTGAAGATACAGATTTATCATAAATTTAATTATACTTAAAACAACTTAAATGTAATCTTTCTTCCGGAGATAAAAAGCTTTAACTCCAGGAAAATGAATTTAGGACAAACAATATGCAACAGTGAGGATATTTTTTTTAAGTTTAGATTAAAGTATCTGCACATATGTTACACACACACACTCCCACACACACACACACACTCCCACACTCAAAAAAAATTAAACACACCCAGTTGAAAAATGGAACATTTCTTTTGGGAGCAGGGAAGGTTTTAGTTTGAGTCAAGAAAGGTATTTATAGTTAACCAACAACGTATTTTTTCAGCTCACACGCGTAGGTGAATTCCTATGAATTGCTTTATATCTGGGGTCTAGCAGTGCAGTAAACTGCATCCTGTTTGCCCCAGCTATACAGTTTGCTTTTATAAATCATGAAAATGGTGTCCTTTGGTAGATATATAAGCTTCCATAACTTAAATATAGTATAAGTGTCAAACAATGAGATAACTGTATTTCCAGGAATATCTGGCAAAACTAAGTCTGAAAACTTAGCAACAGTATCTATTTAAAAAGTTTAATTTGTAAACATTATAGATTAATGCTTTAAAAGCTATTAAACTGCTGCCAGCTAAGCACAGATTTTAAAGGCAAAAAACAGTGTAAATAGCTATTTACATATTTAAGAACATACTGTTTAATATTAACCAAGCGTGTAACTAGAATCAACAGTACTTATTTAATTTCTTATAAAATATTTCAGATTTTAAAGAATTACTTGTGGTTTGGTAGATGTACTATTAGGCATTTTAAATTTATACAGCAGAATCCTATAACAGCATAACAAAAAGAACAGCCATCACCTAAAGGCAAATTAGCTTGCATTAATAAGGCGCTGTGAAGCTGTAATGTGCTATACAACTGCTCGGTTTCATTTAATATTTTCAAAAATATTTTTGGAACATCAGTTGAAATTGACTTAATGCTGCTACTCTATAGAAATAAAAGCCACCTGAAACCAGCACTTTTTAAAAAAGGTTCTTAAAAGTTTCTAAGTATCTATTTGAGGTCTGTATAAGCTTTTGCAGAAGTAGGAAACGTAGCTTGCTTTGTATTCCCTCCTATTAAAAAGCACATAGGAACTCAGAATTTTGCAGTTGTTCCCAGTTAAACAGTCCTGAATCTTTTTCTTTCCTTTATCAAGTAGGAACTTATCAGGATAAGTTCTTTCTTGTGGCATATGTCACCTCATGAACCAGTGGCCAGCTAATTCTATCCTCCTTATTTCAATTACTTAATGCATAACCACACAACTAGATTTACCAGAAAGTGAATGTAATACTGAGGACATAAGTATTACTTAAGTATACACACCGAGGCATATGCGTCAGTCTGGATCTTCTTATAGATTACGATTTAAAAGAAAAAAAATTAATACCAGTGCCCTCACAATGTTGCTTTAAAAGTTACTGAACTGCACTCGTAGGCTATGGCATTATTTGAATAAAAACAAAATTTAGAAAGTCATAATTCTGCAAACACTACAATAAAATGCAAGAAACATGCCAAAATTCAGAGTAAAGAGGATTAGTAAGGAATTACTAATTCTTTTCTTTCATTCATTAGGCTGTTTGATTTTGCTGCTGGTTTCACCAGCAGCATGTACTCCTCTGTTATGCACCATAGGATAAGGAAAAGCTGCGCTGCCACAAGTATAACTTAGATTTGCAAGCCGTGATAGAGCTTTAATGCTACCTGGAGGTCTGCCTGGGCTGACTTTGTATCCCGCTGCTTTAGTTGTACCCAAGGGTCTGCCTGGACTTGTCTTAAATCCAGCTGCTTTGGTGGTCCCCAGGGGTCGACCTGTGCTGGTTCGGTACCCTGCTGATTTTGTGGTCCCTGATGGCCTTCCACGTTTACCAGATCGGTTGAGGTTTTTCTTTTTCTTCAGTTCATCTTTTGTCTCTATATTTCTGCCACTTGTGGTCTGCAAGTGTGACTCATTCAACGCATCTTGTCTCTGGCATGCAATTGGTTTGTGGCTGACTGCGTGGCTGTATTTACTTTGCTGTGTGGCATACAAGTCAAACTGATCAGCAGATCTCACATTGTCTTCATTAAGGCAAGAACTCTTGCCAGTCCCACAGAAAGCTGTATTACTGCTGGCAACAGGGTGCATCATTTTCTAACAAAAATAAGAGAGACAAATATGTATCAATGTATAATAATACGGCAGCCTTCCACAAGAAAGAATCTTTCAAGACCTACATCTATTTCTTAAAATTATTCTGAACTACTTTGACTATTTTGATCAAACAGCAAATTAGCTTTTTAGATAAAAACTTATAACGAGCTTTCATTTGAAGGTCTGCGTTGCAGACTTTACACAGGTAAAGGTGACTATTTAAAACAGTACTATTCAGACACACATAATTAGGGAAGAAGTGCATTAAAGACATCAACAACAGCATCTCAGCAACCAAGATGAACAACATTTATTCACCCACTGTGATTTCAAAACCTCTCTAACTGAATCTCATCTAAATTCTAGCTGTTCTAACTACAAGATTAACCTATCATGTGTGAGCCAAGGCAAATACAATACCAGCCTCTTGATTTAGCAGACAAAGGCTCCTTGAGAATTTTTTTTACTACAGCAAATTAATAAAATACAGATCACTTTTGTTGCTTCTTTTCAAAATTATGTAAGAAACACAGAAAGAGATAACACATTCAGTAAAGATAACAGCGCCACAGTTTGGGAAAACAGGCGTATAAAGTTAATCTATTAAAACGAAAAAGATGCTAGACTGCAGAAACCTCATTACTGTCCTAATTAGAAAAGGAGTGCAAAATACCAACTCAGTGATAAGCAGCCCAGGAAAACCAACACAACTTTTACCGATACGTGTGTTGCCACACATCAACAACACTGCAAAACAAGCATGACGAACGTCAATAACAAGTTTTATATAGCTTGCACTCTTTCGGTAAAGTAGAACAATTTCCATTGTGCTTAGTTTGGAGAGGTTTACTTATTTAAACAAGTATCAGAGTCAGATGTTAGGGCGCTGGAAGGGTGAGAGTCCCCAAGCCTCTCACCGGCACGTTACTGCACATTACCCTGATTCCAGTGGACGATCTCATGTCCAGCTGGTAGAAACCACATACGGCCATGGTCATAATCACAAGCAACTATTTCTAAGTCAGTTGGTTATACTTAAGTCAGTTATACCAAATCCCTTCAACGTATGTACTGGGGCAGAATCACAACAATTAAAAATATTACTGTTATTCTAAACCTTTTATAGTATTAACCATTCTAAACATCCACTGCATAGATACTGACTCAGACGCCAAAAACGCACTCAAAAAGCAACAGGATGGCATTTTGACCCATTCAACTATATTGGCTCTGCAACTTAAATAAGCTGAAAATACTCTGTTTAAAACAATAACATTTAAGCATGCTGAAGGCAAGCTTAATCCAAACAGTATCTGGCACTTCTGGAACATTTCTGTGCCTTACAGTTATGCTTAGCAGGCCAAGTAGTTGTTCCTGTGGAAAATTTCTTTAGTAGATAAGGTCTAGAAGACTTGCTGTATTTTTGCCAAAGTGAAACTGAAATAAATGGTCTACCGCAACCAAGTTTAAATTCGGCCATTGATTACTGAATTTATTAGGGAAATATGAATGCCTCCCCCTATTCAGACAGAAAGGATACAGAAGAAACAGTCCATTGCCCAGGGGTATATCCCAGTTCCCTCTTCTGAGTACAATGGTTACATTTCCTGCTCTAACACCCAGTTTACCTTGGCTTGTAAAATGCACATTACAGTGTATACATTACTCATGTGTGAATATATGAATATGATTTTATGTCAAATATTGAAAGCATGATAGTAATACAGTTTAAGTATTACATGGTTCTAGTAGAGATTATTTAAGTGCTACAACTCTGGTTTGTTGAACAGGGTCACGATGGAACAAATGTGAAACCATTGTTATTGCAGATGTTCACTAGGAAGTGAAACAACTAAAAATAATTAGCAGTCCTGTGCTTAGCAAAGAACAAAAAAGCAAGCTGCAGATCAAGAGAGCAAACAGCCTTTTTTTGTGTAGTAATAGAAAAAAAGCTTATTTGTTTTCTACATTAAGCAGTCAAAAAAATCTCCCGCTTTAAAAAGTGTTATGTTCCTTTAACCCTGCTAGCACAGGGCCCACAATATCACCAAAAAATGCCTGAGATTTTTCATGACACTTAATTGCAAACATAAGGGTTCCAATAATGAATTTTGCTGACAAGAAAGTAAGCAAATTGAGGCTGAAAGGCTATTCATCCGTTTGCTGATACACTAGAGGACGCTTGGAGTGATTAGCGACATTCTTTTTCCAGGGCTCACTTCAGCGCAGGGATTTTGGCTGCACCCCGAGAAGCAGCTCGGAGCTCTGCCGCCACAAAGAAGGATCAGTTCAGCTGCTCAGCACAGAGCAAACGTACCGGGCCACGGAGAAGGCACAGAACATCGTAGGGGTCCTGGACTTTTCTTAGGAGACTGACCATCTCTCAGATTCATTCCTGTCTTGTCTTCTTCAGCGTTCTTACTCTCTCTCTGCTTTTTCTCCTCATCACAGTCCGGGGGATTTTTATCACAGATCACAATCATCCATCTTTCCCGGGGAGAACTACTGCAGGTACTCCTCAGCAGTGAATATATCCCATTACGGCAGCCAAACGTTGCTGCTTTATCACCACACGCGTGTGTTAGTATGTGCATCTATTATAATAGCCCTGAGGAAATACGCCGTGCTCTCCACAAACACCACCTTTAGAAATAAAACCTGGCTGATACTAGTTTACCTTGCATCTGATAATAGCCAGTACGATTGTAACTGGCAAATAAGGAAGAAAGTACAAATCACTGCTTAAAATTTCTCACAAGAATAGTAACCTTAAAAAAAAAAAAAAACTATGAAGGACTGCCAATCGGAACATTTCTAAATGTTTATTTTTCTTTCACCATGCCAATTTTTTAATCAAACCATGAACATTTCTAGCGCCAAAAGTTTGTATTCTATATTTTGATTTTAGACATTTTTATGAGAGGTTTTAAGGACAAAACTGTAATCTAGCTTAATTACGCTATCAAGGAGATTTCCAGCAAAATTTTACTTCATTCACATTACAGTGGGGAATAAAAGAATGCAGTATACATACTGCACAAGTCTATCTGCAAAGTGGAAGCAGGTTTCTTGGCAGGGAGATGTACAATATAAACAAGAACTGGTATAAAATGCAAAGCTATCCAAGTTTAAAAAACACACTCTAGCTCAATTGTAGAGCCAAATATACACAACTCAGTGTGCAAGCATTCTTAAATAAAACTGGCCAGAAAAGTTTCCAGAAAAATAGAACTTATTTTAAACATGTAAATGCATACGTAAAAGGAATTTGCAACAGTTCACTTAAATCACTTTTTTAAACTGGTTGAACGTCTGTGTAAAGAAATAACTAAGACGAGATTGCAGTAATAAAAGTCATACTTCAGGAAGATTTTTGCTGGAAAGTGACTGCAGAGGGTTTTCTGCTTGGATTCTTTTTTATTTGGTAATTTATTTTTCTACAAACGCTGGAGCAACAGGGAGACAATTGGACAAAGCAGCTTTAGAGAAAGGGAAACAGCATTAAAGATACCTATGCAAAGGGCAGAAGCTCCACTGCTGTGAGAAATAAAGAAAGAAACAGGACCATCCATCTGGGACCTGCAAAGCCTCGCTGCTGGGGGATATCTGGACAGAGTAACGCCCCAGCTTTTAACGCATTGCCATTCTTAACTACCTGCACAGTCAATCTGCTTTAACAGTAGTGAGGTGAGTTTTAAAGTTTTATTTTGCTTAGATGGCAGTCAGGCTGCTGATCTGTCAATACAGAATACATGAAGCCGACATTAAGATTTTTGCATTTCAAAATCAACCTTTGATCTCATTTGTTGGTTTCTGCTGGGAAAAGAAATGGAAACCATACTACAGGCAATACCGGCTCAGCAAGAAACTTAGGAAGTTCCACCTAACTCCATCCAGTGACATTAAGGCTTCCGGGTGGACAGAGAGAACGTATCCTTGTATCACTGAATACAGAGCAATATATTGCCCAGCTCTAGCTGACAGCTACTGAGGCATCTTTTACTGGTATGGCCCAGCTCTCTCTGTCTGAAACTTCGCACAAACACATTCATGTCTTGTTCACGGCACAAGATTTTTAAGAACAAAGCTAGTCAAACCACATTACATAAAAACACTCTCTTGGGTTGTGCGTGCACGATGGTGTCTTTGTCAAACACTATGCCCTTTGCCTTCTACACGGGTAGAATTTAGCCGCCAGTGTAGACAAGACTAAAACATTCAAAAGCAGAGAAAGTATGAGAGCCCACTGGAAACAGGCACTCAGTCACTGAATATTTTATAATGAGTACTGAACCTGTGACCCCAGTCTGCATTAAACAGAATAATCAATTCCAAGCTAAGTGGGAAGCTGCTCTGTTCTCATCCACCCCAGCTTACTTTCTTCTGCTACAGCACGGCTAGCACCAGTTCAGCTCCATGAGCTCCAACGGAAAAAGACCTAGCACAGACTTTCGGCAAGAGCTTTTGAATTCTGGTACGACATGCTTTGAATCAGTCTTTGAACAAAAACTGGAAGCACATCTGTGTTACAGCTTTCCAAATGATGAATACCAGGAAAGGTAACCCTATTGCCAGATAGGAACAATTTTGCTCAGGAAAATGTATTTTAATGAGAGTTAATATATGAAAACCACTAATTCTTCTCCAATTTTCCACAGCTGACCTAGTGATATTTTCAACAATATCGACAGGGCTGCAGAAAACCGTATACCGGTATATCTTCACCCTGTCATCCAACCTTGCTTACAGCAAATATATATGATGTAGTGTACAGAAACATAAGCAGCTACAAGTATTATTTCTATACTAACACTTTCAATGTCACTTCTACTAGTTAAAATACTTGCAGTGAAGCACAGGACCAACTCTGTTCAAGGTCTTTGCATAAAGAATGCTCTATGCTGCTGACAACAGTGGGCAGGGCCTGCCGGCTCTGGAGAATACCAGAGGGCTTGGGGCTTTTTGCAGAGGAAGTTTAAGAAGCAGCAGCACAGATG